ACCTAACTTGTTGCCAATCATTTTCACCTAAACCAATTAATCCAGCTATTGTCTTGAAACCACAATTGCCATCTGCTTATACATCTTTTATGTGACGGATATATGGTCTTAACTTCTCCGGAAATTGTTCAAAGTAAGAGATACGATTTGTTGATTGCGTCATACAAACCCACTTCACAAATATACAACAATGGATATATGAAATAATTAAAATGAGGCTGAACAACTATTAAAAGAAATTTTGTACATAGTTACAAGTTTTATGTAATTCCATACATTATCATTTTTTGCTTTCTTCCATTGCAGTTGCTTACGAACTGGTGCAATTAAGATAGTAACACCCTATGAATAACTATATTCCCCATATAGTACAAACTTAAACACAGATAGCTCACGTTTAGTAGATGTATCGATTTGGAATACCACGGCCACGACCTCGGCCTCTACCTCGCATGTCAGTCTTGAGTTCAGGTTCCATAAAAAATGTATTGCTTAGACTAATTAACTCCCTCAACTTCTTCAGAAGGATCACTTGTTGCATCTCGTCAATCATTTGAAATTTCTCAATAAAAAAACCAGTATCTATTTTGCAATCCAACTCCATAAAAACACTTTTTGAAACTGGAAACATATCTAACTTCCTCCAATGAGGATTTATGCATGAGAAGGGAATTGGTTGACCTTGTTGAAAATACTCAGCTATTTCATGTGCACATGGCGACCTGTGTGTATGTCGCAAAATGCAGCCACATGCAGCAACATCTATTCCTACATTATTCGATCTCTTTGACTCTACAAATATTTTGTCCAAACTACAAATTGAAATAAAATCGTGTAATTCAATGAACTCAGTGGGTGTGTAGTTGTGTTGGACTACAATCAAACTCTGCTAAAATGAGGCTTTAATGTCTGCATGTTGTAACTCTAACAAATTGTGTATTTTGGTCTAAGATGTCTCAAAACTGCCTTGACTTGATCCAAGTTGCCTTTTCAATTTAGCATGAGAACTCTCCGCCCTATAAGTATGTATATTTAGGTATTTAATATAAAAATCAAAAAATTATAGCAATTCATAAATGTAATGACCATAATTTACCTGTTTGTAGTAGTATTTCTGAAATGCATACTATTGTCTGTCCAAGCTACAAGAAATTGTTCCTTGTATGGTTCTAACCAATTGGTAGTAACATACTTAATAGCTTGAGGACACGTACTAAATTTGGTCTTCAGATTGAAAAATTGTTCATTGAATGATGTTTCTGTTCTAACCAATACCAAAGCACTCCAACTATGCATGAACTTATCCCATTTATCTTTCATTTCAAAAACCTCCTTGCACTTCATCAGAACATTCTTGCTAATATGCCATCTACATAAAAGATTAGTGGCCATAAGTAGAACTTTTGATATGCCTTTTATCAAAACCAACTCTCTATCTGTAATAATGACTTTTGGAAAATGTGTATTCTCCATAATAGTACGCAATACGCCTAAAGCCCATGTATAGTTGTCCTCCCGTTCATGACTAAGATAAGCAAAAGGAACTAAAAATGTCAAGCCCGTTGATGTTACCCCAACAATCTCTGAGAGAGGGAGTCGATACCTATTAGTCTTGTATATGCAATCCATAATTAACACATGTGGAAATGCACGTAACAACTCCAAACTAACCGGGTGTGCCCAGAACAAGTCAGCCACCATCTCTCTATCATCACATCAATGCCACTCAACATAATTTTGAATTGACAATTGCCCCAATAGTTGTTGCATCTATGATCTTCTTGTCCTCTGTACTACTAAATGTCAATGACGTGCATTGTAGATTGTCTTCATTGTTGTCGCATTAAATGCATCCCTTTGTTTCAATGTAACCAATATCTCTTTTGGTCGCACCATACTTTTTGACATGTCAACTAATAAGGATGTTTCATCCTTAGATAATCTGTGAGCAAATGAGTACCCTTCAAGATGTTCAACAGACGGATGATTGTACACTCCGCATAAGACATGCAACACCCATTCATCATTTGTAGTTAATTTTTCTCCCCTTAATAGAATGGGCATCCACACTTTTTAGAATCTGTCAACCTTAATTGTTCCCCCTTGATCTTCCTGTTATCTTTATAGTAACCACTTCTTTCACAAACAAGGGTAAGTCTTAGTTTTCTGCCATTACCTCTTGCATTTGATGTCTTTACAACAATGGCAAATCCAGTCTTCCTCCCAACGTCAGAAGCCTATTTAATTAATGCTTGACGACTACTAAAAATGTAAACATAATAAATACATTTATATGTCAAATTATTAATAAAACTCAATACAAATTAAAAATAAGAAAAAATTGTATTCATAAAAAAACTTAAAAAATCTCATCTGTAATGAATTCATGACTGGAGTCCACTAATAATGCAGTATATGCATCGTTGCAATGAGTATAAGTATAATCCTTCTAAGCAAAAAAAAAATGAAACTGAACATACATGACAATGAGTAACCGAATAAATTTAAAAAGTCCGGCTTTATATTACAAAAAATGTATATTTTATTCGGCAGTTGGATACCAGACTTATATTTTTTGTTCGGCAGTTTGATACCGGACTATGTTATTTTGTTCGATTTTGAAATACAGAACAAAAATCGAAGACCAGCCTAGAAAATCAAAACAAAAACCTATCAAACAAATAAAAAAACTCACAATTTCACTTTTTTTATGGTTCTGCACTACCATTTCTTCATCTATTGCTTTATTTAATGATCAAAACACTATGATTATCACTTTTTCAAAAGAAATGTGTAAGAGAAAAGAAAAGTTGAGAAAGGAAAAAGAGTAGGGATTGAAGACCAAGGGGTGTAAGGAGATAATCAAATATATTTAATTTTAGTATTTTGCCCTTAAAAGTAATTTCACACATAGATAAAATTGGAAGAAAAAAAAAACTCATATAAAGAGTGTAAAGAAGTAAAGTAATGATGTAAGTAGAATCACCCATCGTTCTCATACCACAATTAGTTTAGTTTTTCCTCACGAGAAATGGGATTGAAAAATTAATTTATGGATTCCACAATATTGGAGGACAACGGGCTCAAATCTTCAAATTTTTTCTTCTTTTGAGAAATGCTAATCTACTTTGCTGCTTTAACAATACAAAATGAATATTTTATAAAATAAAATTATATATTTTTTAGGAAAAAAATATTTATACTGTTAACAAAATACTAAAAATTTAAAAAATATTAATTTTACATATTAACACTATAATCCTGTGGTCACCACCACACTAATAATCTCCTTAATTAATTTTATCATATTCTTAATTCCCTTCCATCATAATCAACTAAACAAACACGCCTTAGGCCTCGTTTGGGAACATGCTATTTTAGTAATTTTTTGGCTTTTTCGCTAAAATATGAGATAAAAAAAACTAGTATGTATGGGATGATTTTTTGACTTTTTATGAAAAGATTTGCAAAAAATAGAGAGAAAAATGAATCTTAACTTTTTGGTATAAGTTATAAGTTTTTTGACTTTTTTAATAACTTTTTAACTAGAATGTTAACTTGCCAAACAAGGCCTTAATATCTAATAATAGGGTTTGTTAAACTTTTAGAGCTCCAAGCTCCTTGTTATCAGAATCTCTTTCTGGTTTACTTCGACCAAGATTATAATGTTTGGTTAGTTCCTCACAATCACAGCATATTGTTTTTTAGGTGAAATTATATTAGTTATTTTTATAAAAATAATCAATATATTTGATTTTAATTTTCTTAATTCAATTTTTTAAAAATTAAGTTTTTTATTTTTCGTATTTTTTTATTTTCAGTGAATATTTTTAGATGCACCTGATTTTTTTTTTACTTTTTTTGATGTACCTTACTTAGATGTATCTAAATAATAAAATATTTGTAAAAAAATATTTTAAAAAATTAATAAATACACAAAAATACAAAAAATGTATTGAATTTTCATATTTTTTGATATTTATTGTATTTTAAAAAAAATCACAAATATTATTTTGTTCACAAATTTGCTAAATTATCTATACAATATACTTACAAAGGGATGCATTCTTTAGTATATACTTACAAAGGGATGCATTGTTTAGTATATTTATTCTAAAGTTTGTTCTTTATATTATAAGTAACAAACACTTTTAAAAACTAATTACAATAGAATAGATTAGAGAAAAATCACCTGCACCTACTAATAGACTAAAATAATTTAAAATTTATTATAATATTTTTTTATTTATATATTTTTACATAAAAAGTCAAATAAAATAAAGGGATTTTTTTTAGGGTCCCTGATATTACAATTTTATAATATAAAGGACATTTATTTTTTTCATAAATAATTGTAAAGAAGAACCATTAAAACAGTAAATAAAAAGATTAAATCACATTAAAAAAAAAGAACAATTGAACTAACTACAATGCAATCACATTAAAAAAAAAAAATCATTGAACAAACTACAACCACATCACATTTTTCTCATAATAAAAAAAATGAAAAAAAGAACCATTGACTAACTACAATCACATAAAAAAAAAAAAAAAAAAGAACCATTGACATTATAAAGAGAAAATCAATATAGTGATAGTGCATGAAATTAGTTCAAGTACATCTTTGATGGATGAATTTCCTCTTTTAGAAAGAACCATTGATCTTGCTTAGAAGATGATCTTTTTTAGTTTACATACTCTTGATGTTTTCTCTAATTTATATAATAGTGACTGCAACAGTACAAGAGAGATTTTTTTTTTTTTGGTTCCTACAAACATTTTGAAGAACCAACTTGGCAACGAAATGAATGATAAGTGGATGAATAATGGCTTTGTTGTGTATTATTGTGAAAGACATTTTCAATAACATATATACCAAATTAGGTTGTCATGCATTGCTTTCAAAATCTAAAAAGTCACCATTCTCAACCAAAAAAAAAAAAAATTAAGAAGTCACCAAGTTATCTATGAATGACATTTCGCTAAATAAAATATAAATAAATAGAAATAAAAGTAAGCATTAGATTTATGAAACAGACAACTCATAATTCATATTGTTATTTGGGTATATTAATATCAATATATACTAAAAAACAGACTAACCAGATTAACAAGGCTTAAAATAAGAATAGTTAAATGTCTGTACGCCAACACTTTTACAAACAAACAAACAAACATATCAACACACTATCCACTTGAATCTGTTGGTGCTTTTACAAACAAACACTACCAACACTTGAAACCCATTGAGTGTGTTGGTATATTTATTTGTAAAACTGTACCAAAGTTCCTTGGTGTGTTTATATGTTTGTTTGTAAAATGTTGTTCTTGACATATGTACACATTGATGACCGTTTCTCATCTGTTGGACCACTCTGGGTGCAATCACCCGGTATACAACCTGAGACGGCTGGTAATCTGCTGGCGGCAAATGGGACAGTTGGACACTCTTGACCCACATTCTCTACAAGTCTGCAAACAACATTTAATTATCACTCAAAATTGTCAAACTAACAACGGAAAATATTATACAAACTAACAAATTTTGCAAAAGTTTCTTACTCAAAAATGTGATATGTGATATGTAATAATGAAACTGTGATACCTGTGAGACAGAACCACTAGAATAATATGACAGGAGGAACAACTCATGCAAGTTAGAAAAATTTGTAAAATTTGTTAGGTTGTATAACATTACTCAAACCAAAATAATAATGTCATCACTGCATCTCACCGTGTGCCCACAGCCAAAAGCCATATCCTTCACATTAGTCAGGCAAATTGGGCAAACCTTCACTCAAATAAGAAACATAAAAGAAATAAAAGATTAATATCCTGAATAAATTATTGGAATGATCCATAAACGAAGGTCAGTCCACTTGCCTCCTTACTGTGCCTTTTTTTTTAATTAAGAAAAAAAAGAGAGAGAAGCAGAAGAAAGTGATTGACCCACCCAAGTGGTTCAATCAATTGATATGGGTGGCAAATTTATAGTCACTTTCATTTTTCCTTTGATATTTCGTCTTGTCTTGACTAATTTTTATTACGTATACCAATTGAACTAGAAAATATCCAACTTTTCTGGCAACTTTCAAGGTATATAGGAGAACTTTTACAGCACTAACAAGCAATTGTATCTATGGGACAAGAGAAGCAATAAGAGTCAGGCTATTACCTGGTTTTGTTCATCTACCACAGGTGTCGAAAGATTGCTTCGTTCACGAGAAGGACGGGGAGTGTAAGGAACTGGGGGAGGGCGTGGAACTACTTTCTTAGCTTTTCCTGTCACACGTCTTTTGCCCAACACGATAAATGAGAGAGAGAGAGAGAGAGAACATGCATAGCAAATGCTACTGAATGCTTTTCATTAGACAAGGCCTTCAGAAAAAAGCCCAAGTCATTCTCTTATATATATATATAGAATTAAGTTGAAAGCATGTATGCATCCATGAGAATTATCATCTCCAAAACAATAATTAAAAAGATGAAATGACCTCACTGTATAAATTTTTAAAATTGACAAGCATAGGGTACCATTCTAGGAACTCTGAAGGAACCAACATAAATTACTAAGTAAAACAATTGGAATGACCTCAGTTCCATGTACTTCAAATTTCTACGGTGATTACAAAGGAGCTCTTATCATTTGATGAAAGGCTCAAAAGTAAAAATTAAGAAAAGGATTAGTTTAGTACTCAAAATTGCAATATAAAGTGGAAACAAGATTAAATGCTCCTTACCCTAGCAAACCAAGCTCAATGGCTGCTTTGTATTGAATGGGAATCTCCATGAGAGCAGCAAGAGCAAAAGCAGTTTCTTTCTCAGAGGGAGTAGCATCTTTAGACATAATGGCAGTGAAGTTAACAAACTGTACACATGGAAGACAGTCAACCAAAGAGACTCTTAATGTTGAATTATAACATGGGTAAGTTGCTTAAAGATATGCTACATTGCTAGCTACTGGCCTTGTACCTGAAAGTTATCAAATTCACGATCAGGGACCTTGTCATCAAATTTCTTCATGTCTTCCCAAGGCCCATCACCAACACCAACAAGAACAATTGATAATGGATAGTTACTGGTCAAATAAAGTAAAAAGAAGAAAGGCAGGGAGGGGCAGAATTGGAATGTTATTAGAATTTAGTTTTCAGTATCACTTCTTGATGTGGACTTTGCAAGATCAGCTAAACCTTCCAATGCAAAGCTTAATTGGATTAAAAGCAAACACAAAAAATAATATAAAATAAAACCTTAAAAGTTGGGAGAATTATTATATTATTAATATCTTGATTCAAGATGATAAAGAAAAAAATTCATTCAGGTATATCTGTTGTATACACCACAGATTTATCAATTAAACACCAAGTTGCTCAGGATAATGAAAGTCCTGAGAAGAGTAAGGGGGAATCTGGAGAGAGACTATGCATACTGATGACAAGGAACTAGGGAGTGTAAGAGAAGGGTGAAAACTATGTTCCCTTAGCTGAATGGTTTGATAATAAGAAATTGAAGAAGAATAAGTCAAAAGGAAGAAGTCTCTTGAGAAAAAAAAAATGATTAAGATAGGCTCTTGGGAACATTAGGAGTATGAATGACCCTATTAAACAAATACATGTTAAGAAGTTGCTTGTGGATAATAAATTGTACCTTTCAGGAATTGTTGAGACCAAGGTGAGGAAAGAAAACTGATTCCCACCCTGAAACATAGCTTGCCTATTTAATGGGAGGTGGTGCAAATTGGTAAATGTGATGGAAGAAGATAAAGATCGAGGAAAATGTAGATTGCTTCAACACGCTTTAATAAATCACTTTCCTTAAGATGATATTCGCTCCCGCCAATTCTACTGAAACTATTGTGCACCGGATTACCAACGAATTTGCCTCCAGGATAAAATAAACCCTAGTCTAATGACTGTTGTCTAATTGCGTTATGCACAAATGAAATAATATCTCGACTACCTTTGGATTTTCAAATCCACCAAGTAGAAGAAGAGTGATATGAATTCTAGAGAGAAAATATGACATTCTATCTTTGACTTGTGTGATATGATTCAAGAGGAGTGAACAATCATGAGACCAAAAATACCCAAAACCCAACACCAATGCTGTAACCCTGAAACCACACTTGTTCTCTTGCTGAAGGGTAATTGAGCCCTGAAGCAAATCCGCTTCCTTGCTCACTCCCTGTGCCCCTGCTATATTTTCATCTCTCTTTCATCTCTACCAACCCTCTCAATATCACTCCTAGAATCCCCACAAGTTCTCTATTTATAGGCAAACCATAGATATCCTAGTCCCACACAATTAATAAAACCCTACACATTGGATTCCTGATGAATTCTAAACTCCAAAACCTAATCCAAATACATGTAGAAACCAATAATTGTATGGGTCTCGCAAAATACAAGAGACACACCCAACAAAATTGACCTTCTAAAAGGCCTAGATAACTGAAATTTGTAATTGTAATTGTAACCCAGTTCCATTACAACAATTATAATCCAACTAAACAGGATCAATGTAGCAAAAGCCTTAAACAAGATCTAAATGGACTAAAATATTGTTATGTCAAAATACCTTGCATTGACAATAGAATTAATTGTTTTCTCTTCTTGTGGGCTGAGTTCCTCGTCACCCGTGTTCACGCTTCTTGTGACCTTAATGAAAAATGAAATTATGTTTGGGAGGCCAAGTGAGTGAGTTGAGTGTGTGTGCGTATTCATGTGTATCAGAGAAAGGCAGCCTTAGAAGTGACCTGGCCATCTGCTATGATAACCAAAACATGGTATTGCCCACCACTTTTCTCCACAATGTCTACTGCAGCCTCAACTACCGGTGCATAAGATGTTGGTCCTTTAACACAATCAAATAAATATCTATAAGATTTCTTGAGATAATAAAACATTGATGGTATGTTATGATCAGAAACAGCCCATGGGTTAATTAGAAAAGCAGAATGGTCTACAAATGACCAACAAAATATGAACACCATATAGATATAAAAGGAGCAAGACACCAACCAGACAGTCGCAAGTTTGGAACTATCTGCTTGTAGCAACTTAAGACTTCTTCAAAGCCATGGCAAGGTGAATGATCATTGTGAAAGCTAAACACTTCTTGATCATGGGTAGTAGCTATCAAGGGAAAAATTAAAACAATGAATACAAGAAAAACTTGAATTCGGAATAAAATTTTCAAAGAGGATCATAACTTACAATCACCAAACCCAAAACAGGGAATTAAGTTATCTTCATCAAAGGGAGCCAATGTCTTTCCGATAATAGAGATAGCTTTCTCATATGGATTAGGTATATCACCAATCTTATGCAGGCTCCGATTGTTGAATGAGATTTTGCCTTCAGTGACAACATTAATGCATTAGCCCCAACATACACGTAAATTTAAGACAAACGCTCCCATAAGAACATAAATAATCTGAAGGTAAATGCAATGTTTAACCAAATATAAATTCAAAGACAATGTGATCATTGGTTTCAAGGCCATGGAATAATTATTAGACAACTATGGAGAGGCCATGTTATTATGTCGGAAAATAAACTTGGTTTACACCTATACAAACCTGTCCACTCATTACTTTTTGTGAAATCTATTCCAATAATAAGATTTGACGACTCAAGGCCTGATTCTCTCAAGGCTGCAGTAACCTGAGAAAGGAAAGCATGTTCTGAACTGCATCAAATCAGGAGTTCAACACAAACAAAAAAAAAGAAAAAAGGAAAAAAAGAAAAAGAAAAGTATTTGCATAGAGTGAAACAACATAATCAGCCAATCTGCATATAGTGTTTAGTGATTACTAGAATTTAATGTCGATGGAAATTGGTAACAGACATGAACCCCATATGCTAAAGTAGACACTTGAGTTCAGCACAAAAAAAGAAGAAGAAAAGAATAAGAATAAATAAAGAAATAAGAACAAAAATAAGGAATTTGACGGCTATAATGGCATCTCCATCAATTTATTCAACATAAGAGTATCAATGAAAAATTTTCAACATAAAAATGTTCATGCTTCATTGGACACAATGAGTTTTCTATCAAACTTAGCTTCTTGTTTTTCTTGGTTGATTGATTCCTAAACAAATCAATAAATGACAAGTACTAGTCAACGCCATTGTGTGTAAATTTAGGGTTGATGTTTTAGGGGTCTTAAGAATTTTCCATTGGAAGGATATATTTCTTCTTGTTTATTATTGCATAAATAGAGATCAACCAAGAAAAATGTTGCATCATGGATTTGCATTGGAGAAATCTGTCTTCCATCCACCAGTTAACATATACCATATTTGTCTAAAGGGTAGTGGCATTCAACTGCAAATTTGTTGCAGTCAATAGTTTAAGCCGATGACCATTTCTTCCTTTTAAATGATTTTATTGATGAGTTCATTTCTTCCTTTTAAATAATTTTATTGATGAGTTCAACATCATGAACATAAAGTAAATCAAATAATCTCCACTTCTTTGATAGAACTGTGGAAAAACTTCGATGTCTTATTCTAATTTGCACTGGACCCATATTTCTCCAAAAAAAGCTTATACATACATCAATGTTAGTACATAATATAGCCATATGTCTATGTATAATGTAGCTGATCAAAGATATTACTCAAGAATGAAGAAGACTCCAAGAAAAGGGAGGAGAAGGTGGTAAGTTCCTTGGCCTAATTGTTTATAATTTATGGGACCAACCTTGTTATGAGTTGGGAATAGGACTCGAGAGAATTTGGAACTTGGCTAAAGATGAGGAAAATCACAGACAACGGGCCTACAACCAGCATACTTTTTTACAGCATCCATTCCATACAAAATTACTAAAACCTAAGACTCGCAATTAGTAATTAATTTTTTACCTTAGAAACTGGCTAACAAGTAGAGGTATACTGTGGATTGAATGAGAGAAAGGGGACTCAATCCTCCAAGTTCAGTCAAGAACATGATCAAGCTCTGAACTGTTGTATTTTATACTTCGTTTTGTCACAAATTGAATCCAAAACATCAACTTGACATCCTTCATATGTTATTCAGAAAATCCTTCTATAAATAAGGTTTTGAAAAGTGGTCGCTGGTGTAAAGGCGAAAACGTAATGGTGGTAATTTCCCAAACTAAGCCTCTTTTGCATCCTAATACTCAAACTAGGCCTAGTTTGGACGGAATTTTCAAACTAAGCTAAAGCTCACGCTTTCACTGTTTGGAGTCCAAAATATAATGAATAGTGAAAGTGCTATTAAAAACCGCACTTTTAATTAATAAAGCGCTGTTGAAAATCACGCTTTTAACATAAATTTTTTTTTTTTAAAGAAAACGCTATTCGAAATAGCGCTTTCACTGTGCATTCGTATTCGGAAGAAAACGCTATTTGAAATAGCGCTTTCACTGTGCTTTCTTAGGAAAATATTTAAAATATATTAAAATGTGACTAAAGTAAAACACAAATGCTTTGTAGCACAAATGGTAGTGTGCTTGTCTTGCACCACAGTGGCGTGGGTTCAATCCGCGGGAATTGCTACCTTTCATTTTTTTTTTTTCTTCCACCCACTCTACACTTTATATATTTATTATGTAATTTTTTTTTTCTTCCACCCACTCTACACTTTATATATTTATTATGTAATTTTTTTATCAAAAAAAAAGTAAAATGTTTGTTTGGTTAACTAAATTTTTTTTCTATAAAATACAATTTTTTTCAAAATGTCAACATGATTATTTAAAAAATATTCAGTGTATTTGGTTTGAATTTTTTGGATTTAGTTATTTGAAAATTGAGTTTTTTTATTTTCGTATTTTTTTGTTTTTAGTGAATATTTTTAAAATTTTAAATTTTTTTTTTTACTTTTTCAGATGCACCTTAGTTAGATGTATCTAAAAAGCAAAAAAATTGTAAAAACATATTTTACAAAATTCATAAATACATAAAAATACAAAAAATGTACTGAAAAAATAATTTTGTATTTTTAGTATCTTTTCAGCAAATTATGCACAGTGAAAGCGTACTCAAAAAATATTTTTTCAGCAAAATGTACTCTTTTAAAATGTACCAAAATATTTTAAAAGCGTGCATTTTTTGAGTACATTTTGCTGAAAAAATTAATATTTTGTATTAATTTTTTCAGTACATTTTTTGTATTTTTTCACTCACTCTATACTTTATATATTTATGAAAAAATAAAAAAATGTACGCTTTTAAAATGTACTAAAATATTTTAAAAGCGTACATTTTGCTGAAAAAATATTTTTGGAATACACTTTCACTGTGCATATTTTTTTGAGTACATTTTGTTGAAAAAAATGAAAATTTGCTGAAAAGATACTAAAAATACAAAAATATTTTTTTAGTTCATTGTTTATATTTTTATGTATTTATTAATTTTGAAAAATATTTTTTTACAATTTATTTACTTTTTAGATACATCTAACTAAGGTGTATCTGAAAAAGTAAAAAAAAAATATTTAAAATTTTAAAAATATTCACTAAAAACAAAAAAATACGAAAATAAAAAAACTCAGTTTTCAAATAATTAAATCCAAAAAATTCAAACCAAATACACTGAATACTTTTTAAATAATCATGTTGACATTTTGAAAAAAATTGTATTTTATAGAAAAAAAATGTAGTTAACCAAACAAACATTTTACTTCAAACCAAATATACTGAATATTTTTTAAATAATCATGTTGACATTTTGAAAAAAATTGTATTTTATAGAAAAAAAATGTAGTTAACCAAACAAACATTTTACTTCAAACCAAATATACTGAATATTTTTTAAATAATCATGTTGACATTTTGAAAAAAATTGTATTTAACTTAATTGAAAGGTAGCAATTCCCACGGATTGAACCCAGGCCACTGTAGTGCAAGACAAGCACACTACCATTTGTGCTACAAAGCATTTGTGTTTTATTTTGGTCACATTTTAATATATTTTAAAAATTTCATAAGAAAGCACAGTGAAAGCGCTATTTCAAATAGTGTTTTCTTCCGAATAGGAATGCACAGTGAAAGCGCTATTTCGAATAGCGTTTTCTTCAAAAAAAAAATTTATGTTAAAAGCGTGATTTTCAACAGCGCTTTATTAATTAAAAGCGCGGTTTTTAATAGCACTTTCACTATTCATCACATTTTGGGCTCCAAACAGTGAAAGCGCGATTTGTAATAGCGCTTTAGCTTAGCTTGGAAATTCCGTCCAAACTAGGCCTAGTTTGGGAAATAGGATGCAAAAAAGGCTTAGTTTGGGAAAAGCCCCGGTAATTGGAGCCGTAATTTTTTATTTTTTATTTTTTTGCATAATTTGAAGAAAATTTATCGATATGTATATTTTTATTTTTAGAATGTTTAAAATAGATTTTGATCAATTTTTGTTAAGTTTTAAGTATAATCTAATATATTTCATATTTTCAAATCACTAACAGATATTTTTTATATTTTATTTAAAAAATTAATTAAGAATAATTTATTTTAAACGTCTACAATTTATTTTTGACCAATACTTGAACTAATTAAATAAAAAATATTCACAATTATTAAATGAAATGATTATAAAAATAAAAGTTGTGTCATAAACAAAAAGAGTAATGATTCATCCCCCTTTTTCCCCCACCCCCTTTGACCCCCTCTCTCTCTCATTGGTTACCTTTTCTTTTTCTTTTTCTTTTTTTTCCTGCTCCTCCAATCACCCCCTGCCACGTGGCAAAGGGGGGTGAGGGGGTGACCCCCAAAAAGGGGTCCCAAACATTATTCTAAACAAAAATTATTTTTGAGGCATTTTTTTAGACAACATTTTACAGCTAACTAAATAAAATTATTTACAATTACGGTCTTGTTTGGAAACAGGCTATTTTAATATATTTTTAGCTTTTTATGAAAAGATATTCAGAAAAGTAGAGAAAGTAATGTGATAACTTGTAATAACCTTTTAACTAAAATATATAGTTGATAAACGAATCCTAATTATTAAATGAAATGATTATAATAATAAAAATTTGTCATAAATAAAAATTATTTTTGAACTACTGATTTTATTTATTTTTTAAAAAACATTTTTGAACAAAACATTATATTAACAAAATAAAAAATATTTACAACTAAATATTAAATAAAATAATTACAAAAATAAATACAATTACTATTTATATATATTTTTATTTTACATGCTAATATAATGAAATAAAAATTTTAAAAAATTATAGAGAAAAAAAAATCATATAAGATATTTCCTTTAAGTTTCAACCACTTTAGTATTTGTTTTTTTTTTATTTATAAACTTTTATTTATTTATTTTTTTGGAAAAGGAAATAATATTATAAAATAGTGTAATGGTGTATAACGGATCCTTATTACGTAATACCGAAACAACCATCACACATATAAGTTTTTGTCACCTTGCTATAATGGTTGACGATAACCACACAACATAATGATTGCAGCTGATTTTTAAAACCTTACTTCTATGTCTATTTGGCATTCAAAATTGGATTTCTGGCAGGATTTATTATTAGAATAATACTTGGGATCCCTTTTTGGGGGTCACCCCTCACCTCCCTTTGCCACGTGGCAGGAACAAAATAAAAAATATTTACAACTAAATATTAAATAAAATAATTACAAAAATAAATACAATTACTATTTATATATATTTTTATTTTACATGCTAATATAATGAAATAAAAATTTTAAAAAATTATAGAGAAAAAAAAATCATATAAGATATTTCCTTTAAGTTTCAACCACTTTAGTATTTGTTTTTTTTTTATTTATAAACTTTTATTTATTTATTTTTTTGGAAAAGGAAAGAATATTGTAAAATAGTGTAATGGTGTATAACGGATCCTTATTACGTAATACCGAAACAACCATCACACATATAAGTTTTTGTCACCTTGCTATAACGGTTGACGATAACCACACAACATAATGATTGCAGCTGATTTTTAAAACCTTACTTCTATGTCTATTTGGCATTCAAAATTGGATTTCTGGCAGGATTTATTATTATTATCATTTTATTATTTAAGAGGCAAGAGACGGTGGGGTGGGGAAGCAACCAATTGAGTGATCCGCGGTATTGTCTTAGCGGCTTTAGTAGCTAAAGACTCAATCTAGGCTCTAGAGACAAGACAACCACGACCACCATTACCACCAACAGATAGATGATATAAAGCCACTCTCTCGCATAAGAGAGAAGGGATTTTTTTTGGGTGAATAGAGAAAAGGGATTAGCCAACAAGTAATAGTTGCAAAATTGGGGGTTGTGTGATTGAATAATCACCTTTGTCTAGGTGGGTATGTTTGTTTGTTTGTTTTTCAATGGATAATAAAATATATAATTTTAATTATAGTATATGTTTTTAGATTATTAGTGGTAGGATTATAAATATAAAAAAAATTGCTAATATCACCGGATAATATCCATGGAAGTTTAACAAAAATTAGAATCAAACAACATAATAGCTATAGCTATAACTATAATTGGCGGAAGGAATCAAAGAGACATGACATGATTTTGAGGAAAAGCAGGGGGGGCCGCGGAAAGAAAGAGGGAGAAGGAGAGAAAGAAGCACAAGTACCTGATCGAGGGTATAGTAGTTGTCGGGGATGAAGTCGTACTTCTTCTTCTTGTTCTTGTTCTTATTAACTGCAGTAGAAGATGTAATACTAGTAGTAGAGGTTTGTTGACTGACAGGAGGGAATGAAGACGACGGCTGCTGCTTTGCCGTTTCCTCAGAAGACATGATTGGCCTATTTAAAGAAGTCGTTCTTCTTCTTCCTCCTAGTTGTGCTCCTACTCCGACGGTGCTGGTGCTGGTGCTGGTGCTGGTTCTGGTGCTGGAAGTGCCGCCGCCTCCGCTACTGCTATTGAAACCCCTGCGGTTCTGCCTCCGAAACGGAATTATATTTCCCATTTCATTTTTCTTTTTCCCTTCATGAAATTGACAAGGAGACAAAAGGAGAATTGGAGTGGAGTGTAATAAGAGCCAACTTTTTTTGCTTTCCAGGAGACATCCATGTCCCACTAGGCAGGTTGATGCGGATGCCCCCTCCTTACTTTTTCACTACTAACATTAATTCAATTGATTAGTACTATTACTGGGAGTCGTACTTGTACTTGTTTGTTAGTAGAAGCAGTTAGTAATTGTTGTTGGATAATGGAAAATTTTCTGCTGTATTTGTGAGGACGAGAGACAAACCGGGGAGGACGACCACCGCCGACTCAATCGCACCATCTAACTGAAATAAAATTATTAGATTTTTAAGATTATTATGCCACATTGTTTATGTCAGGTTTTTAATAAATAAAAAATTACAATACTAAATAATTTCTTATAACTTTAATCTCAATGATTACTTCAAAAACGAATAGATTGCTTTACCCTTTCCTTTTCCTTTTGCTTTTTGGGCAGAGGAGGTAAAGGGGATGGGCCAATCCAGGAATATGATTCTCCTCCGGAGAGCTTCTCTACGTACCCCACCTTTTCTTGAATTCACATTATTATTTATTTTTTTATTAAATTATTAGTTATTGAATAAAAAGTATGAGAAATTGTGTTTTAATGGAATAGTAGATGATTGATTTTTCATTGATAATACAAGTCTCTTGTGTATATGTATGCTATAAGTTTTTTCTATTTTTGGTGTAAATTTTTCTTCGCTAGAGTTTTTGTCTGGACCCGAACCCCCCTCCATAAGGGTCGGTGAGGTGATCGGCCAATAATCCGAGATTATCAAAAATTATCATGTACAAATTAAAATAATCATAGCTAGAGAAAGCTTAATACATAATTAAAACAAATAATCTATTGAGCTGTAAATCTACACGAACAATCACATGATTACATTAATATATCCATCCTGTAATACATACATAACATCATGTACAAAAACATTTATACACACACACATATATATATATATATATAAACGTCAAAACCCCAACACCATAAACATAAGCTTGCCAAAGGCCATCTAAACTTAGCCTCAACTTGGAGGCACCAAAAACTCAAAAGGCTTCCGATGGTGACTTGGCTAAAGGAATCATTATGTGCTTGTTCTTCATGTCACCCATCTATACATATATATACATACAGTAAGTTAAAACTCAGTGAATAATATTAAAGTAAAGGAGTTTGAAAACAAATTCCGAATATATCATATTCATAAAACAAATCATAACAAAATCTGTAACGCCCTCAAAAATAATACAAAAGACCAACATTCTTCTATTCATCAAAGTAGTTCTTACAACAGTATTATAGGTTATTAACAAAGCAAATGCCCTACGGGCTTACAGCTTTCCAAGTTAACATTTGGTTACAAGAAAATAGAGTGCTAACTCAAATACATATTAAGCCCTTGGCCTGAATTTCATTTAATACATCAAGAAAATAGACAACAAAAATGTCTGTCCGCCTCTAACCTCCCAAGCTATGTCCTTGGAGGTGGCATGCTACCTGTACCTGAAATGATGTTCTCATATAGGGTGAGCCACAGCCCAGTAGAAATACACTAAACCAATTATAAACAATGACTAAAATAATAGCATTCAACAGATGGTCCAGACTTACATTCCCACTTATACCGTGTTACAGTTTTATGACAGTCCTGTCCAAGTTACATTTCACTTTCCGTTTCTTATCCAATTCTCAATTCATACCATAGTTCAGAACCCAGTCAAACAACTTATATGAGACAATAACTCATCTTTAACATTTTTCCATTTCTAGCTATATCAATACTTCAACAGATAAACACACAAGCTGCATCCACACTTCAAAGGATAAGCATATGAGTGATATCAACACTTCGAAAGATAAGCATATGAGCTATATCAACACTTCAAAAGATAAGCATATGAGCTATATCAACACTTCAAAAGATAAGCATATGAGCTGTATCAATTTCCGATTTAGAGGTCCAGCCCCTTTCTTCCAATAAACCGTTTGGTTTAGAGGTCCAGCCCCCTTCTTCCAATAAACCGTTTGCACAAAACAACACACACACATATATATATATATACACATCGGTAATATACATAATCAATCCATACATAAAGTTAATGTATTCTTTCAACCGTCATACTCTATGACACAGCCAATTGATTAGTTTTAGTTTGCCTAATCATCATGCATTGTCTACAACAATCAAAACTACCCTCCACCGGTAGCCCAAAGCGATTATTTCTAAACAGAAAATAAATGCATCCAACGGATATTGCAGTCAACATTTCAATTTGGTGAGCGATAAATTATTCAACTACACCCTTTAATCCCATACATTCCCAATCTCGACTTTCTCATTTCAATTCCTCATTTTTCACAATTAATTATACAAATTAATTAATCAATGTAATTAGGGCATTTTCCATAATTAATATTGCAACCCTAAGGTTTCATTTTCATCAATGTTTCAACATTAATTCCATTTCTCTATGCCAAACATGCATATAGGTTTTATATATTTAAAACCCTAACTTTTGTAAAATTACACAAAGGTCCAAACTTTCTCAAAATTACCCAACAGCCCCCAACGTAACAAAACACTAAGATTTAACGACAAAGCTCATAAAGAGGAGTAGGATATCCCTACCTCGAATGATGAAACCCAACGAAAAAGATGAAGAAAATGAAAATGCTCCAAATCTCGAAATTTTTAGGTTAAAAGATAGCCCTCGACGATCAACACAACTTTTGTAAAGGTTGGAGGTGAGAAAACAACTCCTACTAGATCAATCCTAAGAGAGAAGTTAGGGTTTTAGTGAGAGGAACTCTCAAAATAGCTTTCTGGAAAAGTAAGAGAGAGAAAGGATGTTAAAAAGTGAACAAAAAAGTCGGATCTCGACTTTATATAAAAGTCTCCCCGCTCGAGCGTGGAAACCCCCGCTCGAGCGTCACTCACAGACTCCCGCTCGAGCGGCAGATGCACTGTCACGACCCAAACCCGGCCCTATGGGTTTAGCACCGTAGCCGGCCAGTAATCCGAGATTACCGAAGGCCTGCTTAACAGTAATACAGTAAAACAGAGTACAGGGCCTGGCGGAAGCCAATACAGTAATTAAACAATGTCCAATGAGCTGTGATGGTCTGTATGCCAAAAAGATTTTTCATACATTCATACGTAAACAGTCCAGAACAGTATGCACAATATTTACATTCATTCAAACCAGGGACTCAACCCTACATAACAGTACAGAAAATATTCGGTCTATACAGAACAGTAAGACAGTACAGAAGGAGAATTCCTAAAACACCCCTAAGCCTTAGCAGATGGGCTCGGAACCTCGCAGTGAGGCACAAAGGCTGGCTTGACAAAACTGGAGTTACCCTGACGCCTCTAGCCGCGGTCTGGTGCCTGTACACCTACATATATATATGAGCAGTGAGCTAAAGCCCAGTGAATAACATAAAGCGTAAAGGGGTTTAGAACGAATGTCCTTACAGTAATGAAAACAATTCAATTCAATCAGTATTTCAGATGTTCAGTACAGTAAACAGTCATATGTGGTACATCCATTAGCATATCAGTAACAGTAGGTCTTGAGAGACCGAGCAGTAATGATGGCCATCAGTCAGTAAACAGTAGTGGTTCCACGAGGGAACCGACAGAGAATTCTGTCACAGTAACAGTAAACAGTAGGTACTAAGGATGCCACAGTACAGTTCAGAAATAAAGGACATACATTCATTCAGTAATACCAGTTCAGTAAACAGTTCAGTTCAGTATTCAAAAGATATCAGTTGAACATATCTTTACACAATTGTTACTCACAGAGTTTGGGCTACAGTAAGCTAGAGCGTGTCTCCCCAGTCGTCAACCCTACACAGTTAACAGATTGAACACACACTAAGCTACACAGCTGGGAAAGATGATAACTTAATCCCTAATTTGCCTTGGTGTGTTCTACATCTATATCCTCATTAAGATGTCTTAAACTAGGCCTAAGAATGCCTAGAATGGGATGAGGATGCAAAGATGTACATGCAAAAGTATTTTCAGAAAAACAGAGTTCCGCTCGAGCTCAGGTTTCCCCGCTCGAGCGTACATGTAACAAAGGTACCCGCTCGAGCGTAAACTTTCCCGCTCGAGCGTACCATGAAAGTACTGGATGGGTGAAATCTCCGCTCGATGCCCGCTCGAGCGTGAGACCTGACTCCGCTCGAGCGCCCAATCCTCCGCTCGAGCGGACTGCAGAACAGTGCAGAGATACTGGATGCTCGAATTCTATGCTCGAGCGGTACTTCCTCCGCTCGAGCGGAAGTGCAGAATCTGGAAAACCCAGATTGCACCTCCAAGCCAAAAACCAAGTTCAAAAGCATCAAAACTCGACCTCTTGAGCTAAATTTCCAGAAAACACATGTAAACTCATAGTTAAACATGATTCAAAACTCAATTTGAGAAATCAAAGCCCAAGGGTGTTTAATTCAAACCCAATTTCAAACCAATTTTTCCAAGAACAATCCTCAGAACATGACATGCAATGATCTTTAATCATTTCAAAGCTTTATGTTGTTTAAAAGACTCAAATCCTTTCAAAACAAAGATGAACTCATGGAGTATGACCAAAAGAATGGACATGCATGTTGAGGAAACATGGACTACAACCTCAAAACTTCATAAATGTACATGCAATGGCAACAATGTAAGCTTTTCAATTCAAAACATTAAACCATGTTTTGGCTCTACTCCCAATCAATATGACATGAACCATGCAAGAGTCAAACTTAAAACATGACAAGAAGCAATGAGCTACTTTAGTCTTGTAGTTCAAGAAGGGAGCTCAATTAACCTAACAACCTCAACAATTTCCTTCAATTTCCATGCAATTCTTCAGATGAAAACCAAATTCTCTCTCCTCTCTCCTCTCTCTAGGTCGGCTAAGCACAAATGAGAAATGGGCTGATGAAATGTTCTTGCAGTGTGTACTAAAGCTCAAGTGTGTGTATTGAGATATGGTCCACATCAAGGGCAAACGGTAATAAGTCCAACTCTTTATTAGCTTATTATCTATTTATCATACCTAATCAGTTGTTCAGATAAAT